TCGAGAGCTTGAAGGGATACTCGCAAGGTCACCCGCCGTGTTTGCGTAGGGAGTAGGAGACGGCATGGTGCCCGTGTGTGTTGTCCTCTGATGCAAGTGGGCATCGGGCCTCTGTCCTCCAGCATGTCAGTGTGCTGAAAAACGGGTCTGAGCAGGCTCCTGCGTTCCCTGCGCAGAACAGAGGAATGGCCCTTTGTTCCCTGCCCGCACCTCGGTCTTCTGCCTATGGCACCGTCACCCTTTGCTTTGGCAGTGTGGGCAGGCCGTCTCCTTATGGGAGACTTGTCAGATTACCTTCTACAGTTGATATTGAGTTGTTTCATGTCTTGGAGCCATGCAGCATCATCTGGTATTAATTATTTTATTACTATGTTATCATATTTTAGTGCAGTAGCAAGATATGGAGGGGGTCCTGCTGGAGCACATCGGACCGTGTCAGCAACCTGAAGAGTCAGTGGAATCTCTGACTCTTCATGCCTTCTGCTGCGAGTATTAGCTATGTGCAGCTACCTTGGCAGCTGTTGGTATTATTAGGCTAATCAACTCATGTTTTTCATAGTCAAAGTACAGAGTATTCCCCTTTTAGGAAGGGGGAGTACCTCTTAAAGAGAAGAGAAAAAGGAGGCAGTGATTTATAATTGTATCTCCTCGCTGTCTTCCGAAGAAGGTTGATGGGGATGTGGGCTCCTCAGAGTATATTGAGGCATTCGTGTTGCAGATAGGGTGGTAATAAATTTTGGCCTTTGCTCCTTTCCCAATCTGTAATTTCTGATTTCTTAATAGATTTTTGGATCTGGATTAGGACTTACCACATGAGATTAAAAGATTTACAAACTGGCTGTTCTCTTCCTGCTTAATTTGCTGGGATGCCAAACTGTCCTCTCCCTTGGATGCCTCAAAGCCAAAGGGTTGAGAAGGCTCCGTGTAATCCCCTCTTGAGGTAGTGTGGGCTGTATAAGCTCTTGTTATAACATTTACTTGTGCTCGTTTGGGGTATTGCTTTGTGCTGTTTTCTCTGGAAAAGGCTCTGTTTCTGCACTGAGACTTCTGAAAATGGCTTCTCCTTGGTGTTCTCTGAAACACTCTGGCTGCTCATTTCTTTGGTGTGCATCCGTTCTTATTAGAACTTGGTCAGGTCTCAGTGGCCTACCAAAAGTTGATGCACTACAGTAATTCCTTAAAGCACGTTTTAAAGGCAAGACTTCTTTCCCTCTTTTCCATCCCTTCATTCTTCTGTTTTTTTTTCTTGGTGCTGAGTCAAACCCAGAGGGGATTCCTTCCAGAGCTGACCTCCTTGTTGGCAGACTTGAGGTGTGGTAACTGTTTCTGGTCACCATCATACTGAAGCCAAACCTCTCTGAACTCGGACTAGTACAGAAAAAGCAAAGAATCCACACCCCTTGTTTTTGTAATAAAGCCTCAAAATACTTGAGGGTTGCTTCGAAATCCACTAAATCCTTCTTGTCCACTAAACTAGACCAAGCAAACGAGTCTGGTCAGTTTGTTCTTCCTCCTGACCTAGGCCAGCGTGGATACCTGGTTGTGCTGCTGGGATTCCCAGTTTCTCAGGGGAATGCTGACACCGTATGTTTGTACTCCATCCCCACCCCCAAATAATTGGCACATGGCATAAACATTGGCTTGAGTGCTGCGTGAGAGCATCCTCAAAGCCCATATTAGGAAGATGGTTGAATACGACGTGTCTGTTTGAGCAAGGTGAGGGCAGCTGAAGAGACAGAGCAGCCTCTGACTAAGCTGCCAATTAAAAACTGGATATTCTGCTCCCCCTGGAGAGGCGTGGAGGCTGCTGGAAGTGTGCTTCCTCTTAAAATATCTGTGGGATTTGTTTTCTTGGGATGGGTGACGGTGCGTGGTGCTGACCTACCCGGGGTTTCTGTTTTGTACTCAGGCAAACACTGCTTGCAAATCTGTGTATAGTAGGAGAGTTGAGTGTTGTGGTTTTGCACTGGGCTTTTGTGGGTTCTCCCAGTTTCAGAGACTTCCTCACGAGGAGGGAAGGAGGATTACTTCAGTCTTTGGCAAGCAATTTCAATTTTTATTAAGTAGGTACGTGATCCTGGCAGAGCTCAGCTTCCCTCTGTGCAGGGATAAGCATTGTGAACTGTGTCGGACAGGCTGTGTGTTTTGTGACCCCACGCACATTTCCTATCCCACTCTTCCTCCTCCCCATCCTCCCCACCCCTCCCGCCCCCGAGCTGAATTACCTGGGATTTTAGGCAGAGAGCCTCCACTGGGTACACTTCATAAGATCTGTGCCTGCCAGAGCTCAGCTTCCCTCTGTGCAGGGATAAGCATTGTGAACTGTGTCGGACAGGCTGTGTGTTTTGTGACCCCACGCACATTTCCTATCCCACTCTTCCTCCTCCCCATCCTCCCCACCCCTCCCGCCCCCGAGCTGAATTACCTGGGATTTTAGGCAGAGAGCCTCCACTGGGTACACTTCATAAGATCTGTGCCTGCCAGTCGAGGGGATAGTAAACACGGGCCGGCAGGTCGG